TGAGGTAAGCCATCACTGACTAGCTGACATGGTCAGGTCTGAAGTAAGCCATCATGTAGTGCCTGTGATTCCTTTTGTGGGACACCATTGTTATTGTGGAAGGCCACTGCTACAATTATATATGACGGACACAATGTTGCACAGTATACTGTACTGCAGTCACCACTTTCCATTCTGTAAACAGGGCAAAACATTGGAGCAATTATATCATATCTAAGCTCACCATCACAAGTGGTTCAAGATGAAAATCCTGGAAGTCCCTGTATTTCCACCAGATGATGCCATCCTGCGAGTAATCCAGCTCAAAGTCTTCCACCCACCCTGCCTTCTCTCCTTCCCCGCCCCCCTGCATTATCACCCCCGATATCATCGTGCGCGAGGGGAAGCAGACTTGTAGCCAGTGGTTGGTGCCGGTAGCGTTTTGGTCAGGCTCCCAGTACGAGGAACCCCCCAGTCGGCCGTGATGCGGCAGATGATCAAGGTCAGCTGAACTTGAGGCTGTGATGTTGGAGTCCGGTATGGTGCCATCTTCCATTCCCAATTGAAGAGGACACTCATCTAATGCAAGTAAATATTGGGATTTGGATTTTAATTTTGAGGTTAGTTTTTTGTTTAATGTTACTACTTTACTGCTTCCAACTGTAAAAGAACAGAGATGGGATAAATCCTATTAATAGAACGTCTCCGGAAAATGAAGAATGAGCTAGCGCCTGAAATCGAATATTGGTGACGCTAGTCTAATTTTAATATGAATACGATTGTAAGTTAAAGGCAAATAAGGTTGTACCAAAATAAACAGGGGTGTTTTTCTTTATAACTATCACACATGTACATGTATATGAGAATAACAATGGTAGCATCTGACACAATTTTGAGGGGTAATAAGATTTTCCAATCTTCATTTCTTTTCTTACGATTTGTAAATTGTTTGCATCTTTCCCCACAAGCCTCAAATAATTACAAAACAAATCTTGCAGAGTTTCTGAATTATGATTTTTTGAGATATCACAAAAACCATGTGCTCTGCTCTGTAAATTGATTCCTTTCATCCACAGGTTCCAACTGGTTGAAATGGTCAAGGATTTGTATCAAAACAATCAACCCTACAAGTGGTATACTGACAGCACATCTGTTGTTGGTCACCTTCAATGCATCTGCTATTGGTCACAATGTCATTAATTTCTTAGGGTCAGAGCAAGATAATACCAAACTAAAAGTGAGACTGATGGAACTAATTTGATGCTTGACTGTCCTGCCGTAAGTGAGACCCAAACAGATTAATGAGAATTTTGTCAGTGAAGGCTGAATAGGGGTGATTTCAATTAAGTTTTAATACTACCAGATTGAAAGACAACTGTCTATGATCCAAACAATCTGTTTGCAGAGGACACCTAGATGAGAAAGGTGGTACAGCTGAATATGTCAGCCAACATCACTTATCAGCAGGCTAATGGCACAGGAGATAAATGCATTGATTTCAGGAACACAAACAAGGTATAAACATTCCTAAAGCTGCCCAAAACGATATCTAGTGAAGCGGGTTCTAGCATTTTTGTATGAGATCTTCTGAAGCGTGCCATTACAAGAAGAGTTTCAAAATGCTGAAAAATGACTGAGCCTGCAACTGTACTGCAGGAAGATTTAAGCTCTGTGCAAATATAATTTGTCTTGTCTTTGGAACAGTTTTCTTCAGAGCACTTTGCAGGAAATTCTTAATTGATTACAAACTCAGGCGTGTGATGGATACGTCTAAAGGAAACCTTGTTTGAACTTGAGCAAGGGAGTGTTTAGAGAGCCATTACTAGAAGAGAGGTGAATGTAATCATGTGCAAGGTCTATGAGGAAGGACCTTCTTGTATGAATATAGGCCATCCATTAATGGATATTCAGTAAGACACTACTCACCAGGAATTGCATTAGTTCGGTAGGCATCGCAAACTACAGGAAAGAAACAAGAAAACAAATCAACACAAAAAAATAATTTTTCAATCACATTCACGTAAATTTGACTTTACAATATGATTTTTTGTACTGAATTCAGGGTAGATATACTCTAAACATCCAAAGTACAGTGTCACTGACAGAAACATCGTAACACAGTTGGAGACAAATAAATTGACTTTGTTTGTTTGTTTGTTTGTTTGTTTGTTTGTTTGTTTGTTTGTTTCACTGTACTGAAATTCAATGACACAGATGATCTTGCGCCAGGTGTGAAGTGACACGGCAAATTTGATTCTGCATTCTGAGTCTAAAAGTGCCAATCAAATGAACAAAGATTGGACTTGAGGGGTTTGCTTGTACTCGTAGCCATGAACAAAGGTTTGCAGTAACATGGAAGCTTATTTCGTTTGTGAGTTATAAGGTTCTGAGAACTGAAACATAATGTTTTGAACAGTGAGGTCTGTTTGTTAAACAGAGAATCCACATACACGTATGTTGTTGACAGCGCTTCTAGTCACGAGTGAGATGGGAGAAATATAAAATATCCCCAAATAATCACCTGACGTTTTGAGGTCCCAACAGCACCTAAAGTTTTGAGGTCCCAACAGCAGGATAGGGGCCATGGTATACATGTTTGTGCCTGCCTAGTGGCACATCTTAAAATATTTCTCATGTCCATATCAACTTCTTACATAATTAGTGAACACTTTAGTGGTGAACTTAGAATTATCCATATTTTGAGATTGTTTGAAAAATCCCAAGACCCGGAAAACCCTGATGAAAAAATTCGGAATTAGGAAAAATTGTGACAAATCTCTCCCCTTTTCTAACACTGTGCAATTTATTAGGAGCCACCTAAATTAATTTATCAGAAGTCTATGAGTCACCTTCTAAAGAACAAGTGTGTTGATTTAGGTTTTCCAGTTGAGTGCTACATTTGATGTGAGTTCGGCCAAGACACAGGTACACTTTTAATCAGTAATAAGTCGTGAGTCATACTCTCACAGGAACTTAGACTAAATGACACATGATTCAAATGTCTCAATGAGATTATGCATTCACAACATACAATCTCATCGGTAGCAACTTGCTGGCATTAATTAATATTTAACATTTGAAACACCTCACACATTGACCCATTCATTTGAGGAACATTCCATTGACAAATTTCAACCAACAGTTGTGCTTTGGGCTGATCCTCCTTCACAGCTTTCCGTGGTAAACCAGACTTCAAAATGTGATCACAGTACTAAAATTGGAGCCTCTATATTTCAACTAAGCATTCCATATACAAGTAAGTTGGCGCTGATACAGCCCTACTCTAACTGAAAGGCAACATAGCACTGACTTTTACTCCTGAGAGAAATCAAATTTGATCAACATCTAAACACTTCAACATCTGACAAATTCCATTAACTATTGAAACCACAAGGCATGGATTTCTTTTTTGTGGGGTGAGGGGGGTACTCCACTTGTAATCTTAACAACCAGAACTGTTTCCAGGTGACATAGCAGTGATACTTTGATCTTAACTCCTACCAATTTCAAGCAACCTTTCCCAGAACTGTTAGATTAAACAGAATGTGCAGTCTCCAAGCCAAGAGGTACTGGTACCCTCGTGCTTCAAGTGCACCTGTTTGGAGAAATCAATAACCCTTAAGCTGACATGCCATGACAAGTGTCATCACTATCTCGCACAAAATGAATCAGAGTATGTACATGAGCACACTTCCTGGTAACGATCAAGAAAGTGCACTTTTCAAAGATGCCCTGATTTCCAATATGTCTGATTTACAAGTCTTTCTCTCATCCTAAGATTCATTAAATGTTCCAATTCACCATCAGGCTAGAAAGATTTAATCTTTTGGCACTTGTAATGTGCACGTACTTGTTATTGACAGGATTGCACTTTCTTGACAACACAATAAATTGCTTTTACTGAAACTTCAGCAAGGAAATAGGAAAAAAAAATGCAGACAGTCATCCTCAACTATCAACGGTTCTAGCAAAGACAGACAGGAATACCTTTAGCCATTTCTGCAGTGTATATGCTGACACAAAATAAACATCTCATTCTCCGATTACACAACACTTCACTTTTTTCCCCCTTTCTTGTACATATCCTGATTTTGTTCATTGTCTCAATGTGCAACACTGTAAGTTTACGCATTTGCTTTGGGGAATTTGTAACTAGAAATTACACTGTATACATGGCATGACCTGTACATTTATATGTATACAGTTATTGACAATCGGCTGATGGGGAATCATGGGAAGATGGAGCATGATGGGATATGATCCAAGATGGCTGTTGTTATGATACTGTGATTCCAATCATTTCAGAAATAAATCAGCCATGGTATTGATGAGCAGATAGAAAATCACCCTAAAGTGCAGTGATTTGAACCATTAATTTGTAACTGACGTTACACTGGCGTANCTGTTTGAACAGGTGATTTTTTGTTGATTCTGCATCACATACATGCAACATCTGGACATCGGAGTGAGTGCCGTTAATTTGTGAACACTGTACATGAACACTGATTGTTGATTTTAGTTTTCGCTTTCGCATTATCATTTGGAATTGGAATCTGCATGCAAGCAAAATAACGAATCCTGGTTCCAAGAGAGAAGAGAGAAGAAGCTATACCTCAGCTGCTGATTACATAGTGAAATTGTGCACCATAAATCACATCGATGTAGATGGCTACTGCAGAAAAGAAACCGAAGACCAGTGGCCATGCCTTCTTGAGCCCTATTTGACAGGGAAGGCACAGAAGGCATTCCATGCACTCACTAAAGAGGACAAAAAGACGCTTGACAAGATCGTTCAGATAATTTTGAGGCATTACCAACTCACCCCAGAGGCCTATTGCTTGAAATTTTGAATAGCATCCAAAGAGGCAGAAGAGAGTTTCAAAGAGCTTTTAGCCTGACTTGAGCTCTATCTTCTTTGATGATTGGTGCCAAAACAAGAGACAGTGGTGTCTCCTGACTTCAAACGGATAACACACCTCTTCCTGATTGATCAGTTTTTGTCAACAATTAGCAGTTACACTCTCCGAAAAAAGTTGTACGAGAAAAAGGTTGAGACCGTGCAAACCCTTGCAGGGTTGGTTGAGGAACATGTTCTTCATTGCAAAACGGAAGCAACTCTCGAGTTCCAAGGAAGATCACAACCAACCCTTCCATCGATCAACTCAGTCAACAACAATTAAACCGACAACAGGACACAAAAACTGAGAACACTAATCAGAATCACAGTTCGATGTCCAGTGCACCCAACACCCGGTGTCGCCAACTTGGAGACAAAGTGGCAGATTACCCCTTCCCTCCCCCACCACAGTCATCGCCAAGGCAAACACTAACAGTGAAACAGGCATGTGATGTCAAGTAGACCGAGTCTGCTGACAAGACTGTCAAGATATACCACTGAGGGGACCAAGGTGAATTGCATCAAGACTCCAAAACCTGAGACAGGCAACGACTGTTGTGGCCTACATGTATGCATCATGGTTGGGATGTCCCGGAAGGCATTATAATGGCCACCGGTTTTGCCATTTCCCTCATCAGCGAAGACCTGTGCATTTGACTCGGGGTTAGCGGTAACCCCGGGGTCCTCCCTTGGACTATTAACCATTGTGGATGGAACCGAGTTCCACACTTCTGGGATTGCTGTCGACAGAATCAAGACCACCGGAGTGGATATTTGGTGAATCTCCATTAGATCCAGATGCTGCCTGTGCTGGTGCTGCTTGGAAGAGATGTCGCTCGACAAGCAAAGTTGCTGATTGACTTCAAAGACAATTCTTATTGGATAGAGTCCGGTCCACACAAGTCCCGCCTCAAGTACCCCTCCTCAGCCTCGAAACAGACGGGAACCTGCCTACTGATGTTCCTGCACCCCTGACCCCTTACCCAGTGAGGCGATACTGGAGATACACCGTCAACACTACAGATCCAGCACAGAGCAATATTACCCGACACTGACATCTTTCTGGAAGTGAGCCAGCCTCTTTGGGGAGTATCCTGAGGTCTTTTTGGAGACACTGGGTAGGTCTGACCTGATCTACCACAACATTGATACGGGAACCGCAAAGCCAATCTGAGGTCCAGTCTATCATCTGTCTGTTGACCGGCAACAGTCTCTTAAGCATCAAGTGGATGAGATGCTGAGTGATGATCACATTGAGCGTTCTTTCTCATCGTGGGCTTCACCAGTTTTGATGGTCCCTGAATCTCAACCTGGCAATTATTGGCTGTGCATCGACTAATAGCTAAGGCTCAACCACGTCACTAAACTTGATGCGTACCCGATGCTGACCACAGACTCCATCTTAGAGTCTCTGCATGGTGCCACTGTCTTTAGTTCCCTTGATCTGAAGAGCGGATACCAACAGATGGTCCAAACCCCAATGATTGGGAGAAGACAGCATTTGTGTGTGAAGAGGGCCTGTATCAATTTACAGTGTTGCCCTTTGGCATTGTTTTGGGCCCGCAAGTTTTCAATGCCCGACGGAGATTGTGCTGCTGGCTCTCATTGGGGAAATCTGCTTGGATGATATTGTCCGCTTTTCCTCATCACCGACCCAGCACCTTGAAGATCTCTGTCGAATTCTAGACAGGTTGCGGGAGGCAAGGCTGACAGTGATCCACCAGAAGTGTTACTTTAAATGCAGGTCAGTGGTTTACCTTGGTCACGCGACTGGCAGCGACAGGCTTTGCACCTCACCACAGAAGGTCCAGGCAGTCTTTGACTACCCTGTTCCAGGGAATCACAAACAGCTGAAGAGATTCTTAGGTATGGTGTCCTGGTATGGGAAGTTTCTTCCTCACCTTGCCACCCTCTCTGAACCAGCTTAGACAGAAGACAGCTGTATGGTAGTGGACCGAAGTGTTCTGCATCTTTCCAAGAGACGAAACAAATTCTTACGTCAGAGCCGGTCCAGGTGCACGTATACCTGGAATTGAGCCGACCCTTTGTTGTTCACACAGACGCTAGTGACTCGGGGCTTGGTGTGGTCAGGAGACAAACAGAGACTTGCGTTCAGTTGCTTATGCTAGCCGTTCGGTGGAGGCACCAGAACGAAACTACAGCACCACCAAGTGGGAGTGTTTGGCCGTCGTGTGGGCCCTTGAGAAGTGGCGGATTTATCTGAAGGGCAAAAAATTTCAGGTTGTCACAGACCACCAGGCTTGGCTCTTTCGGGAGGCCCATCTGGCTGGCAGACATGCTAGGTGGGTTTTGCGGTTGCAAGATTATAACTTTGATGTCGCTTATCGGTGTAGTGTCCATCATGTTGTGCCGGAAGCACTCTCCAGTATTCACGAGGCCTAGCTGGTTGGTGTTGTCCATCACAAAGTTGCCCAGCAAATGACGGATAGTGTGGATGGTCTGCTGTCAGCATCAGATGTCCATGAGACTTCTGTACCAGGTAATAATAGTGATAAGGCGACTGCGCTGCTTCGCTTTGTTTACACCCCTCTGATGACATCATCGACTGGATTCAGTGTGATGGTTGCCAGAAATGGTGCTACATGGCATGTGTCCACATCAGACCAAGGCAGGCTGCTGACTTCACCAATTATTCCTGCCCCAAGTGTAAAAGGAAGAGATGGGAGACCAGACGTGACATGGACGTGGTACACCGTTGGTACAACACCAGTCAAGGGCCCACCTCTACCAATACCCGATCTTGAAATTGTTATGGAACAACAGAAGGGTTACCCAAAGTTGGTTGATGTGATCAAGTCTCCTTCACCAGTGTATCATCAGAAGAATGGAGTCCTGTATCATTATCAGGGAAGTGGAAACTGGTTGCATCTCAGTTGTTGTGATCTGTGGTACTACCGGTATGTAACTGTCATCCTACTTCTGGTCACCTTGGTAGGGCAAGACAGCACACCGATTGGATAGTCTTTGTCTGAGGTGGTGAGGTTTTTCCAAAGATGTCTGCACTTTCATTCACGCATGCCAAAATATTGAGAAAGGAAGCCTGTCTATCGTAAGCCACTGGGGTTGATGCTTTTAACACATTGTGATAGCCCTTGGGAGACTGTCAGTGTTGATTTAATGGGTCCCTTGCCACGGAGTTTTGCTGGTCATGAATATCTGCTGGTGGTGGTCGACCATTATTCCAAAAGAATGGAGGCCATTCTGATCCGCAGGCTTCTTGGTAAAGAGGTCGCCAGTGTGATTGTTCAACAACTTTTCTGCAGATTTGGCACTCCGGCCGCTCCCAAGAAGTTACTCTCTGACAACAGGTCCCAGTTCGCCTGTAAGGTTCTTTCAGCAGTCTGCCAAGAATGGGGAGTACAGCAACTGTATATCGATCTCCCCATATCACCCACAGAGTAACTGGGTCAAGCAAGTTAACAGAAATCTGAAGGGCATGATGTGGGCTTACATGTATGTGGGAGACGATCACCGCACTTAGGATGTGTATGTCACGTTGCTGAATTCTCCTTCACTTTGAACACCACAAAGCACAAGACAACTGGAGTTGCACCGTCCTGGCTGATGTTTGGTAGACAGCTTGTTCATGTTGACCAAGTCAAGCTTTGCAGTGACTGAGTGGTCTTTTTATGCATTTTCCACGACTAACTGGTTGTCAACCAGTTAAGGAAGTTTAGGTGCTTGGGTCATTTTTTTGTTAAAAAAAAAAAGAAAAGAGGAAATTCACAGAGACAGAAGACAAAAAAGGGAAGAGGAAATTGTTTAAATTTGGGAAAAGAAAAAAAAAAAGAAAAAACAGAACGTTGTATTTGTGCAATGCTCTATGAGCAGATAGAAATTATCCAAAGTGCAGTAATTCATTGTGTAAATGATGTTACAAATTTGAATCATTTTCCATCTGTACTTGAAGATTTCTAAGCTGTATCAAAGCACTCTCGAACAACATTTCTTTCTTTCCTGGTAATAAAAACGCTGCTGTCTGCGTGAAAGATGAATGGCATTAATATTACCATGGAACAGCCTTTGTGAAAGTACACACTGTACATAGATGTGGGCCTATGCACTCATGACATCATGTACATGTACAGGCCTACCAGGAAGTTGGGCACATTGGGAGGAGGGTCATTCAACGATCATGTGCTCATGATGATGCCCGCTAGCCTACTTCTGAATGAGACGAGTACCCTTGCATTAATGAAACATGCCACCGCCCTTACAAAAATGTCCCATGCAGATCCCATGGGCTGCCCATGGGACCCCATCTGTACGTCATGGGACTGGCAAAAAAAATAATGTTGGTTGAAGTGATCACCATGGGACATTTTGTGGATACCATGGGAACACCATGAGGCTTTTATGATCAGCATGGGAACACCATGGGGTTTTTATAATCAGCATGGGAACACCGT